CGGACTGGTCTGTTTTAATCACTATGACTGTTTTAATCCTATTGTTAATATCTGGCCCTAATAAATTAGTGCTAGTTTGTATTCGCAAGTTTCGTATTGGAAATATAAAGTTACAATGCTTATTTAAAAGAGCAACACGCAAGTTTATTTCTCGTTCTTCTTGTGATGAGACAGCTTTTCGAATGAGAGGTAGATTAAAAGAATGATAACTATGACTATTCAAAAGTGCTTAAATTAAGTTTATTTGAATAAATGATTTTCTGTTCTATTCTATTCTTTAATTTTAAAAGTATGTTATTATAATCAACTTGTATAATTTTAACTCATACAACTATACATATAGTAAAGGATTCAGAATTTTATAGACATATTATTCATTAACAGTACTTCGGAGTGTAAATAATTTATTATCAAATATCTAAACCAACAAATAGTTTACCTACCCCTTTTACCTCTTTACTAACTGCAAAACTTTCCCGAAATTTCCAAGTTATATGAAATACTTTGTGATATTTAGCGTCCACATTATAGTTATGAACATAAGTATTCTTTTTTTCTATGTCTTGAATACTATCTTGATGATATTAAGATAGAGTAGACTAAAGACACACGATCTCATTTAATTTATATGCCAATAGTAATGAAAACGTTCCATTTACATGTACATGACATGTAAATGGAACGTTTTCATCAAAAGTTAGTTTAAAGTTCCGTTTAATTTAGACCCTCATTGCCTGAAATTAGAAAAGTTTGGTCGTAAACCTGTATAAATTTAAAACCAATAGGGCCGATATACGGGCATTGAAATAGTTCGCAATGCGATTATTCCTGATGTATATTAATTTGCTAATTTCAACGTTATATATTTATTTCTCTGTATTGTGTTAACATTTATTATCACAACGTCAATTTGTAGACAGATTACAAAATACAATTCAAAAGTCAACAAACATATTTAACAAAATATTCGAAAGATGATGTGTTGTACTTTGGACAGTGTCCGTTCACAAACATTCAATAACAATTTGAGCTATAAAGTCCTTTATGAAAGATTAATACGCTTCCTATCTAAAATCTAGTGCCGAGTGTAACATTATACGTTATGGAGATCAAATAGATACGTTGTTTTTGTCTTTTATTAAACACTATATTGTGATATTATTAATTAACAATCTATTAGTTGTATAACATAATTTATAAATTTCAGTTACGTCAGAAATAATTTTAACAATCAACTTCATTCGTTTGAAAATGGCGAACAGACTAGCAATTACTCTATCCATCTTCTTCAAACGAATTATGTAAATACACGACCATTTTGGTAACATTATCTTCAAATACTTTATCACTTCTCGTGTCATATTATCCGCTTAAGTTTTTATCAGATTTTTGCCTTCTCTCTTCAAATCTCAAACCGAAATGTAAATTAACGTAAGTTAATTAAACTGAGTTACTCCGTTTTATGCACAATATATTTTAATTACCACAAGCAGTGCAACTATCTGAACTTGGTTACAATTCTGCAATGTAGCCTGAACAGAATATGGACGTCTTGATTTCATCCCCATAGGATAACAATTCTACTCAAAATAAATTCTCTCGAAACAATGTAACTGTATTGTCTTCATCCCTGTACAATATGAAATTTAATAGATTGGAGACGATCAATTTGAAATTACAACACTTACGCTAAAACAGTTATAAGTGTCACTGCAAGTTGAAATGTTAACAGCTACTGCAGAGTTTGCCTTACAATAAGTTGCAGATGATATAACAATTGCATACGTTTCTTAACTTGACAATATTAACAATTTGATGATTGTAAATGATTCTTTAAATATAGATTCGAATGAAGTTATCTCATTTACTAACAACAATTAAGTAGCATTTGTATCCCATAAAAATCCTAATTCTAATCGGATTGATATCGATTTGGCTGGAAATCAACTAGATTGATAGACAAATACTGTTTTATATTTAACACCAAGTTCTTAGATATACCAACAATTAATAAATGAAAATATTTCTAAAATCACTGTTGTAACAACGAAGTTTCCAGCAAACGGACAAATATGCAAACACACAAATAGATCATAACTACTTATACATACAGATAAATATTAATACTTAATAATAATCCTACTCTAATTTAGAGTAATATTGTCTAAATTATTTCGTTTCATTTCACAATTCTAAATCCATCTAGCGAGAGTTATATACAAGATAAGTTTTACAAAAAATAAATAACTATAGCATATTGATTCATTATATACGATATGTCAGGCAGTATAGTCACTAGGCCACATAATATTGTTCAACATGATTCTAGATATAAATGTATATTTAGATCGGTAATCGTATTTATTCCACCATCAGTTTCAATTACTTAGAAAATATATATTGTGTAAGCGTATATTATTCGAGAGTTTCAGATGATGTTGATAGATTCAAGACTTTTATTGAGTTACTTTTTTTATATGCTAAATATCCGTTTTATATTGAAGAATCATTACATATGACACTTGGAGATAAAATTACGCCATCTATAGATGATATGACATTAAGGAATGAATTATGTTGGTCAGTTTACTCAAAATCTTGACAATAATGGTATACCGTCATCTAAATACATATTTATATCAGAAAATATAAAAGCAGCGTAAGTACTTGATAGAAATAGTTTGTATGCTTACATAGATCCTAAAAAATAAATAGTTTAGCGTGAATATAGTAAACGTTGCTTCTGTAGAATTCTGTAACAGTCGAATACAAATTCTTAAATCAGTTTCATTATCACATCAATATTAACTGGTACCAATATTGAACAATATGGTAACAGTAATGACATAACAGAAAATTGTATAGACAATACCAATCATAATGTTTAAAGACAAGAGTAAAATGATCTAGAAAATTGTAGCACTGAAGCATTGCAAGTCACATTTAGAACTATACTTAACAACTAACAATAAATAGTCTTAGAAATTCAAGACGATAAATTGACAGTATTTCCAGTAAGACTAATCGTATAATAATATGATGTAGTAGTAGTAATTGAGACAAAAGCCTTACATCTAAAGACAGGCCATAGAAATGCTTTAGACCCACGTGCAAGCTATTCAATAATGATACGCTCATTTCAGACTCAAGCTTGCAACCCCCGTATTTCTTAAGGTCACTCAAAGATAATAAAGACATAGAACGCATTAGATATTTCGATTTTAATTCTATAGATTTTACTTGATTAATACAATCGCTCAAATTTGCAATTTATAAATTAAGAATAAATGTCAAAACGGTTTTTGTTGTGTAAAGATTCAAAAATTTTATGGAATTTTAGAATTAAAATCGAATTTAAGCTAAGAACGAATATTAGCCTCAGCTTACGAATCTAATTACGCTCTGTTGGAAGAGCCTAGAAGTAAAGGATACAATATGAAATTTTACATTCACTTACATAACAAATTTACGTATAAGAGATTTGTTAAATTTTTGTAACACTACAAAGATGATTGTGTTATTAAATCATCTTTGGTCCTGTACAATCAGTAGTACTACAATGTAGCAGTTATTTTCTTCAGCATAGTAATCTAAAAACTACATGAGACTAGAAAATCATACTAACGCTATATTGAATATCCCATATCACATTATTGACGAATTAAGTGTTTCGACCATTTTAAAAGGTATAACGACAACAATAAACTTATAGATATTAAAGTATAGAAATGTTTGTTCTTTTTAAAAGAGCAAATTGGAAATACAGGTATTGATTAACAGACAGTGAAAATAATTACCTTATTGAGGATACAAACACAAAAGATAACTAGTTCATGGGAAGTAAAAATTACTTTAACAATAACATCTATGATTTTAATGTCGTAAACATTAAAATCAAATCCGTACCAAATTTACCTTCTATGTATGTATTGACAACATTCTAAAACAATAGAATTTGAAAGATCACGTCTCTCTAACAGGTGTTGGACCCCAGATTTTTTATGATAAACAACAACGTGTAAAAACTAAACTTCTTTATAAAATAGGTTCACTCTCTGTTCTAGATCTTAGGGTACCAGAAAACAATCTTATACTAAGGGTAAACAAAACTCCTTTTAAAGGATAACAAGCGATATCAACAAATCTGTCTTTTATCAGAGGTAATGAACGTCTTCTAAAATCTAGCAACTTATCCTCTTGTGCTTAATTCGTTGTGCACGCGCACAGATATACTAACAATAGTGGAATATGTGAAGCAAATGGTTCTTCAATAGAAACTATAATATTTTTAATGAAATGACTAGAAATTGCAACAAATCTACAAATCGGAATCTACAAAAAGAAGTTGCTGTTTATATATTTCACGATAATATAAGAATAATAGTCCAAAAGGTTTATTAGGCAATATTATGTATCTGCAAATATACTTATGAAAGAATTCTTTTAAGAGAACGATTTGCCTCACTTATACCTAACATAAGTGCTTCTACATTATTGATAGCACGCGAATCCACGGTTCCCGTCCTTATAAATACCTGTTTGAAGCTAATATATCTTAACAATCTATATAAATAAAAGCAATCCAACATCCGTTTACAAAATCTTCAAAAACACACTCTCGAATAGACACGAGCTTACTAAACCTTGAACACTTGCATCACATGACCGTCTACAATTTAATGTCCATTAACAAGTCACAGACAATATCTTAAGAAAGGAAGTACTATATGAGGGAGTGATGGAAATAAAGGATGATTGAGCATGACAGTGATTGGAAGACTTGAGCAAAAGGAACAGTTTTAAACACAACTCTTCAGAAATGTACCAGTTAATTGAGAAGCTCTTATTCATATTGATAATGTTACAGCGGATCTTGATAGCGGAATAACTAATGCAATTGTCGCTGTTGAAATAAGAGTAAAAAATATAACTGATAATAAAGTACAGTTAAGTTTAGATTATTCTTCAGAGTTATATGATCACAATATTATGATTATAGTTCAGTAAATAAACGCGGGATGAAGCGGTGGGGGAGGTACCCGTGGCTGCTTGTCGAGGGGGGCACAGCAAGCTGGCTCGCAGCAAGGAGTTGTGTACGGTGCTGGTACCAATGCATATTGTGTTGGTGGACCGTAGATCGCTGGAGTAGCTGGAATGGAAAATGTACATGATAGTTTTACATGAATATCAGGGAAATTACAGCTTACAGAAATATTACATGTTAGTTCCAGGAGTGGCAAGTGAGGTGACGAACTAACCCATGGAGCTGTTTATGTATATGGGCAATAATTGCCACTTGCATTATGTGGATTGAAAATGAAATCAAATTATGATTAGGTTTTTCAAAAGATTATTGCCTACTTAAGAAAATATTTACAACTTTGATCTGAGAAAAGAATATTCTGAAAGGGAAGGCAGCAATGAAGCATTGAAGTACCTAACTGAGCAAGTACTGACCATAACACTCGCACGTTACCCAATTGCAATCTTGAATCAAACTATCTAATAATTGTACTGTAATATATTGCCGACTGATACAGTTGGTAGCAAAATTATATAAACCAACAAATCTAATAACCTAGATAGACTTCAACAAAATATTAAACTCAGGAACTTGGAGAATAGACAAGATAACTTACTGTCGAACGGTAGAGGGTATACCGCATAAGGTGGCGGTGGTAATTCACAGGGTGCGCAGGCAGGGAGTGGTGCCAATGGTGGCGCACACAGCAGCTGGTAGCACAGCGGGGCTTGGAGTGGCGTTGCCTCTGTGCCGAGTACTGGTAGCTGACTCATCTGGAATATGATTTATTTTATGGATCATACAGAATTGGCAAACAAACTGTCGTCAAGATAGTTGGCACATCACGACATTATATGGCTCCTCGTGCTTTATCTTTTCAGAAAACTTAGATGACTTTGTCTCATGTAGTTTTACCGGTTGAAAAGGTCGTAATTCTCAAGTATACTATTATTTAAATTGTATTGATGACTGGGATGGTTATAAAAAAAATACGTAGACGTTACGTTATTCGACATTTTCAAAGAGTAATTTAGGAGCAATAATGGTGTAGGTAAATACCCGTGGATGACTTCTTTTGTTTTAAAAACAAACTATAATTCGCATAAAAAGGAGTATTTCCAATCTTATATGTCTCCTCCAAAACGGCTTGACCGATTTTTATAAAATTTTATATGCATATTCAGAAGGTCTGAGAATTACGTGAATTAATGAAATGCTTCAGTGAAAAGGGCTATCCAACCGTAATATTTATTTTTGTATTGTTGGACATAATTTTTTATTTTTAATGTTTTTGTACGTACCTGCTTCCTCACCGCTTGTGCGACCCGCAGACGTCCCAACGGCGAAAACATCACTCCGCCACTCTGTAATGTAATGAGAATTATAACTTTATTTGTCACTTATTAAACTCTTTTTTGAATAAAATCCTAAAATAATTCATAGAACGCCATATAGTTTTTATGTCCTAATATCTAGTCTCAAGGTAAGCAGAGCTTTATCAGTACTAGACTGCAGATACATATGGTTTTTTTATAAAGTGCCTGTACTGTGGTACTTTAGATGCCTACTATTCACTGTCATATCTTACCCTTCAACCGATGCACATCTTACAATATGAGCAGACATTGTACAAGGACTACCTTGGTGCAATTTGTTCAATTCGCAAGTCCAATCATGAAATTGTAGATACATAATTACAAAATTGTAGATTTCGATCCGGCTCAAAGGATCATATAGATTTTATTGTAATAATACTAAATGTTTGTTTAGGCAAATATATGTTAAAATTACTGTAAATTTGATTGGTTATCTTTACATGAAGTCGCTTAGATCTTTTAAGTATAAATATTTTAGAAACTACGCAACGAATTTTAATGCAGTTTTTAGCAATGGACAGAAAGTTTGCTGGACCACTGAGATCGAAATCATTTTAACGGAATCGGTTTAGTACACCGCCATACATCCGTGGGTACCGGGTTCCATTCCTCGCACCGTGCAAACAGAATTTATGTCTAATAAATCATAATACAAGCTCGACTTTGCTTGGATTCCCAAGCTAAGTCGAGCTTGTATTATAATTGATGAGTGCTGAGAGATGGTGATGGTGCTTTGTGAATAATTTTTACTCTGCGCGGGTTAAAAATATTTGTGCCCCAATATTTTATATGCACAAGGGACCCCAAATCTCGCCATTATTATTTCACGCCGCGTCTCGTCCGAATTGTAGGTATAAGTAGCTACTAAATAAATAGCTTACACCCGGCTTTTCTATCAATAGCTCCCGGTCAACGCGTTAAGTGAGGCAAAGTTGCAAATCACATACACGGGAAAGCACTTAGGCCTTTGTCATATTGAATAAAGGTAGATTGTAAACGCATTCAGGTAAAATTGTGTGGTTTAAATTATAAGCGGGTAGCGGTATGGTAGTTTTTATTTATTAATTACTAGCTGTGCCCGCGGTTTGAGTGAGATCACGAATATGCGGTGCGGAATCTTGACTACCGTTACGATCTTCTCTAATGGTGGTCAAATTCCGACCGTTATTGAGTCTACACCCATATTGCGACACGTGTTTCGCCTCTGAACTTGGCATCAGCAGGTGTTGAATAGAGTTCGGATATAGCTGAAGCCTACTGTTCGGCGACTAAACCGCGACTCAGTTAACACTAGGTTTTAACCTATATGAAGATTCCAAACATAACAATAATAATCTCAAGACAATTCACACAACGCCATCTACACCCAAGTTAATAATAATAATAATAATCTTAGGACAATTCACACAGCGCCATCTACATCTCAAACCAAGTTAAGGTAGCTAAAGCTTGTGTTATGGATACTAGATAACTGATACAAATACATAGATATATTTTTTTTGTAAAACACCCGACACAAACAATCATAGTCATGAATACAAATGTTTGTGCCGCGCGAGGAATCGAACCCGCGACCATCGGAAGTAAGGCGGTGTGCTAAACCGCTAGACCACCGAGGCCGTCAAAAATTAAGCTAGCTAAAGCTTGTGTTACATGTACTAGATAATTGATACAAATATATATAGTATATATTTTTTTTTCTTAAATTTTAATACATTTCATATTCTACATTGAAAACACCGAGACCGATACAAACAATTGTACTCATGAATAGAAATGTGTGTACCGTGCGAGGAATCGAACCCGCGACCATCGGAAGTAAGGCTATGCTAAACCGCAAGATCACCGAGGTCGTCAAATAAATCCAAAAAGTAGTGACTTCTGCAAAAGAACACCTACTTTGATAGAATTGTAATAAAGTTCCTATTTCTACCAACTCGTGCAATATCGACATCTCTCCAAGGAGCTGACTCCATGAATTTCATTATTATTACAGCGGAAAGATCATGTTGAATGGAAAACTTTGCACTTTCACAATTGCGTTCTTGTGATTGTGCTGAAATTCAAGAATGGAATAGAAAATCGTTTATTCAAATAAACTTACATTGAAGCACTTTTGAATAGTCATCACATTTTTTTTAATCTACCGCTCATTCGGAAAGCTATCTCATCACAAGAAGAACGAGCAAGAAACTTGTGTGTTGCTCTTTTAAATAATTTTATTCTTGCTTTACAATTTAAGTGTGTGAATACAAACTACCGATTAGCACTAATTCAATTAAATAATCAAATAGAAAAAATATTGAATACACAACAACTGGTTAAACAATTAATAAGAGGAAATCAGTCATAGTGATTAGAGCAGACCAGTCCACACAAGCAGCACCCGTTCACGAGTTCGACGAATGAGCCAGCCATCACTGCGCTCGACCATATTTTAGGGAGCCCAATAACCCGGCCCACCACGCCGCCACATGCCTGGACATTTTAGTGAGCATGACTACTCAAAACACCGGACCACGTCATAGCTACACACAATTGCTTGCATCTGAGAGTTATAGTATTCACATTTTACATAAGAAATTCAAGAATGCAAGAAAGATATTCTTCTGGATTCTATTCAGGGGCGAATCTACCTAACACCTATTATTTTTGTATGTACTATGTATAGGTTAACAATATGTGTATAACATAACACACCACATCATTTTTAATCTATTTATATATTGTATAATGTTCTGTAATTGTATAATTGTTTAAGAGCTCGAAGTGTAATATATAAACATTCACGTATATATGTATGTAAGTGTTTGAGAAACTACTCTGCTACCAAAATGTTAGGGAATTTACTATGTCTGTCACGTACCTGTATGGTTCTGCGGATTTCTTGGGCTTCAGGGTCTCGAAGGTATCTTCGCTAGCTTTCCAGTTTCACAGTAGGTTTCACAGTTCTAATTTATTTTAATTCACAACAAATGGGCGCGCGCGTCAAGGCCGCTGTACGGTCCGTTTGTTACTGTAGTAAAGGGAGGAGAACAGAAACCGCGGGAACACAAACTAACGGACTCTAATATAATAATGTGCTTACAATGGTACAGGGTAGATTTTGAACAGTAAGTATGTATTTAATTATAGGAGCCAACAGAATATCAGCGCTGCAGACTTATCTGTAGCTTCATGCTGAGTTGGTTGCCTCTTCATCATTGCGACACATAAAGCCACCTCCATTTTTATTTTACTTTGTAATATTATATTTCTGTATTATTTAACTTGTAAACTTTATTTCTATTTATAAAATGTATCTCATGTATGCTATGTGTTTGTAATTGTTGAATAAAGAACTTATCTATCTATCTATCTAAAGGCTTTTTGGGCTGCAGCCCAATGCCCCGAGGATACAAAGGGCTCCCAGTCCTCACTGAAACGATATTTAGGATAAAAAAAATATTTAGAATGTTAAAGCACCTATCACAAAACCTGGGATCAATCAACCCATGCAAGTGCACGTCTAGCGAAAGGAACGGGAAATTTCTGGTCGGTAGTTTTTGGTCGGTGTATTTTTTTAGTTGAATAATATAATTAGGTAGTTAAGTTAAGTAGATTTAGCACAGGGCTCCACAAAGTTTTTCGCCAGTTCTTCTCAATTGGATCTATATACTGAACTGGACGGAAGCGAAAAATTATAATATAAAAAATGTTACGTACTTGCGGTTTTTTACTACATGCATGAATAGAATGGAAAATCATTTATTCAAATAAACTTAATTTAAGCACTTTTGAATAGTCAACATTTTTTTTAAATCTACCGCTTATTCGGAAATCTGTCTCATCACAAGAAGAATAAGCAAGAAACTTGTGTGTTGCTCTTTTAAACGATCCTTGTAAGTTCACATTTACAAGTCGAAACGTGTGAATACAAACTACCAACCAGCACTAATGTATGTAAATATAAATACGGTATATACATAAAAATAACATTTCTTACAATTTTTGTCTGTCTGTCTGTTTGTTCCGGATAATCTCTAAAGTGTCTGGACCGATTTTAACGGGACTTTTTTTGGCAGGTAGCTAATGTAACTTAGGCTACTTTTATTTTAGAAAATTAACGTTAAATTGCACGCGGACGAAGTCGCGTGTACAGTTAGTAAAAAATAACGTTAGCAGTCGCTGTATGTAGAAATAAGACTGTAAACCAGTGTTTCCCAACCTTTTTAGCGCCATGACCCAACTTAACCTTTCTAAAATTCACTATGAAATTAAAATATAGGTATATAATTATAAACATATAACAGGAATAAAAAAAATAGGAATTTAAAATCATCATTTATCATTGCCTTGCCTTTATCCCATTATTTGTGGTCGGCGCAGTATGTCATTCTCTTTCACTGCTCTCTATCGGTCGTCATATCTGAACATACTCTTCTTTTATTCATATCATCTTTCACACAATCCATCCACGTTTTTTAGGGCATCCTCTCCCCTTCCATCCACGTTCATATTATACTTTCCATAAGACATGATCCTCGTTCCACCGCATAACATGTCCTAGGAATTTAACACTAAGTAGATTATAAAAAAATGAAATTCACATTCCATATAATTTTAATAGAGTCCATTTTCGAACTGACCCCCCTGTGGGTCGTGGGGCCCACTTTGGGAAACACTGCTGCAAACGGTCAGTCGTATAAAGGTGACCCTAAATATATGTCGCAGTAAATATTTGACCTAGCACCGCGGTCAGAGCCCACTCATTTCCTATACATATTACGGCTTGTAAATTAACACGAGCAGATTCGAATCTGGGACACGGGAGACGTAGATCTGAGATGGCGATACGGCGAATGAAAATCGTTTGTTATTCGTTATCGCGTTTTATAATTAAATATGGCGTCTGTACGTTTTAGTCAAATATTTGCTGGTATTATTGTTATGAAATGAAATATATTAATTTTGGTATATTAAAAACAATTTTGTAAATAAACATTCAT